TGAGAGAGCCTTGCTGAAATAAGCAATGGGCTGCCCCTTCTGCATCAAGACGGCCCCTACTCCTACACCCGACGCATCACATTCTATTTCAAAGGGCTGAGAGAAGTCTGGAAGAGTGAGGATTGGAGGGCTAGAAACTGCTGTCTTCAAAAGCCCGTTGGGCTTTACCAGTCCAACTGAAGGAATCCTTCTTTAATAGACGCGTTAGAGGGGCGGCCATAAGCCCATACCCCTTAATGAAGCGCTTATAATGTCCGGTAAGCCCAAGAAAAACCCGTAGAGCCTTTATAGTAGTGGGCTTGGGCCACTTTTGGATGGCGTCTACCTTTTCTGGGTCTGGCATGACCCGACCTGCTGCAACCACATGGCCTAAGTATTGAATTTGTCCTTGTCCAAAGGAACACTTTGTCATTTTGGCAAGTAACTAGTGCCCCCTTAGAGTTGTGAGGGTGAGTTTCAGATGTTCCATATGTGTGTCCCAATCCCTACTGTACACCAGAATATCATAGAAAAACACCAGAATAAATCGCCTTAGGAATGGCCTGAAGATGTCATTCGTGAGGGCCTGAAAGGTGGAGGGGGCGTTGGTGAGTCCAAAAGGCATAACCAAAAACTCATAATGGCCATCGTGGGTCCTAAAGGTCGTCTTGTGGATGTCAGCCTGGTGGACCTGAATCTGATGATACCCGGACCGCAAGTCTAATTTGGAGAACACTCGTGCCTCTCCTAACTCATCCAGTAGTTCATCAATGAGGGGTATAGGAAACTTGTCCTTCATGGAAATCTGATTCAAGGCCCGGTAATCTATGCAAAAGCGCCAACTACCATCCTTCTTCACTAAGAGTCTAGGAGATGAAAAAGGGCTGGCGCTGGTCTGTATATGCTTTTTTTCCAATAGTTCTCTCACTGCCTTCTCAATTTCCAGCTTCTGAAAGTAAGGGTATCTATATGGCTTCACATTGGCCAGTTTAGAACCGGGTAAGAGAGGTATCTGATGATCATGAGCCCGGGGTGGAGGTAATTGGTTCGGCTCCTTGAATACATCGCCAAACTGATCGAGTATCGATCGTAAGGCCTCGTGTTGGGCTTCTGTGGGGTGAACACAGCCCTGGTTGTCCAGAATTGGGACTATGGGCTGAATGCCTAAGTGCATAAATATGGGTTGGCCAGCATCCTTGGAGGCCTGTATCATGGAGGCTAAAGTGTCACCTTGTGGACTAGGGGGCCGCACCCCTTGTAAATGACAAGCCTGGCCATCCTAGTGAAAATCCATTGTCATTTTGGCCCAATCACATAGAGCAGGGCCCAGACCACGCAACCAATGAATCCCCAAATAATATCAGCCCCCGAGAAATCCAATGGGTGGAGATCCACCACAAACTTATGGCCCTGTATGAGGATTTTTTCCTTCTTACATACACCATTACACGACATCTGACTCCCATTAGCCACATGGATTGAAAAGAGAGGAGTGGGTTGTATGGTCATACCTAGCTGCTTAGCCAAACGACAAGTTATGAAATTCGGGGTAGAGCCACTGTCAATCAAAATCATCACGGTCCGGCCCGCCAATCTTCCTTCTACACGCATGGGCTGAAGAGAGTTGAGGCCCATGAGGGCGTGTAAGGAGATCTCGGCCCCGTCTGGAATCAGTTCACAGTCATTTAAGTGCTCTGGGCCTATCTCTTCCGGCTCTTCCTCTGTCTGTAGCAGAAACACTCGTTGGACCCGCATTTATGGCCCAGTCCAAACTTATCATCACAGTTATAACAAAAGCCTTTCTCGTGTCGGGCTTGCATCTCAGCCCATGAGAGACGTTTGAAGGGCATAGTGGACCGAGGCAATATGGGCTTCTGATGATCCCAACCGGTTTCATGGGCTGCTGATCGACCCGTGGAGGAGTGCTCAAATTCGGGTAGGTCGGTTTGCTAGCTCTACGAAGGTTGTCGATTCTTTCTTCTTGCAGGCGAGCCAATCCCACCGCAGCCATGACAGTCGCCGGACGGAGAGCCCTCACCTCCAAACGGATATCCTCTCTGAGACCTCCCACAAAACATCCTACTAAGGCTTTCTCCGGCCAGCCATGTACCCTAGTCGCCATCCACTCGAACTCGAGTTGGTACTCTGCTACTGTTCCAGTCTGCTTCAACCGAGTGATAAGCTCGTCGTAGTCCACGAACGCCGTCGGCCTAAAGCAGATGCACAAAGCTTCGGTGAACTCCGCCCAAGTTACCTGGGGATGATTCTGGCGATACCATTAGAGCCATAGAATCGCGTCTCCTTCTAGATGAATGGAGGCGATGGAGACGCTGGTGTGCGGGAGTTTCGTGGTATTTGAAATACCTTTCTTCTCGGAAGATCCAAGGAATGGGATCTCCACCGGAATAGTTGGGAAAGTTGATCTTAGTGACTTTTCCGATGGGGTAATACCCTGTTCTTTGACTACTGGAAGCAGAGGCTTCCGCTCTTGCTAGGTGACTGGTCTCGCCGGACTGATGCTGAGAGGCGAAGCTGGAGACGACCACTTTGAGTTCCTTGAGTTCGTTCAACACCTGGTGGAATCCAACCTCAAGCTGGTCGACCCTATCATCCACGGTAGTGGAACGTGTCTGTGGCATCATGAAGCCTGGGATTTGGATAGCCTGGCTCTAATACCAATCTGATGAGTTACCGCTCACCTCGGAAGCCCCTTCGAGGGTGGCTTAACATCTTGAAACAGAAGATGGGGGGAGAGAGGGGAAAGGTAGGAAGAAAATGACTCAGAGAGAGATGAAAGGGATATTCATTCACGCCACTTATTACATGATCAGGGCCTTATATAGCTGGCCTACATGTATGCAATCATGGAGAGAATATCTTTTGGTGGTAGTGTAACTAACTCTGGGAGGCTCTGCCGCGTGTCACGCTAGCCTCTCTGTCTTCTAGTGAAATGCTGTTCGGTGGTGGCCTGCTCCACTCCTACAGTTGGGTTCAGAGGGAGTATTTGGGTCCCAACAAAGAAGATGTTATTAGCCCAGGCCCACATAGGATTAGTTAAAGTGACGAAAATACCCATAATGTCCAAATAATAAAAAATACAGAAAATTTTGGAAAATTCCAAATTTGATTCTTCAGCTCCTGCATTACCAAGTACCATGGATCTATGGGCATGCTTTTAGGGAAATAGAGAACCTGTCATAGGAGCTGAATGTTTGGGTAAGGACTTGAAATGGGATGGCCAACACTAGCAAAACAAGGGGTCTATAGACAGCAGATGTTTCACTACTGTAACTTTGTTCTGGAAAAACTAGACAGCAATTGTTTTGGGACTATTGTAACCTTCATTAAGGTTGGTTAATGTCTCATTGGAGGGATGAAACTGCTATATTGCACCATTAAGTTTTCACCTTTTAATTTAATTCATAAAATTTCTTTTGCTGATTTGGAAAAAAACATTTTATTGTATTAGTGCATTTACCGTCATTCTTACTCTTCATCTGTTTTAGAAAGATGACTTTGTATTAGCAGAAAATTCCATGCATAGTAATATTGCCTTTATTTCAAGAAACTGGAGAATGAAACATGATATTTTTGAATCTGTTATAATTTCTCTTCATCCCAGCAATTTATGGCTATTGAGCCTAGAGAAAAAACATTGCATTCTTTAGTGTGTTGTTTTTCGATCTTTTATCGGAAACTTGCATCTTGTTTCTGATAATACATCGTATATGGAATATGGTTAATGGTTTATGATCTGTTTTATTGCGCCAAATTCTATCTTGGTTTACAGTATTTCTGCACCAACAGCTTTTCTTTTGGATGGATAAATATGTAACTTCTACAATGGCTCATGACAACTAGGTTTGATTTTTTAGTTTTGGGATATTGTCTGCAGGTGCTTCTTTTTTCAGCTACCTTTAATGAGACTGTCAAGAATTTTGTGTCAAGGGTGGTTAAAGATGGGAACCAATTATTTGTTAAGAAAGAAGATTTGTCATTGGAGTCTGTAAAGCAGTACAAGGTGGACTGTCCAGATGAACTTTCAAAGGTACAAGTGATTAAGGACAGAATCCTTGAATTTGGAGAAAGGGTGGGGCAGACAATTATATTTGTACGCACAAGAAACAGCGCCGGCATGTTGCATAGATCATTGGCTGACTATGGTTATAAATGTACTACTATTCAAGGTGCTCTTAAGCAAGAAGACAGGGACAAGATAATCAAGGAATTTAAACAAGGATATACTAAGGTCCTCATATCAACTGATCTTCTTGCTAGAGGTTTTGACCAATCACAGGTACTGGTCTGTTGTGATTTTATAGATTATTTGTGTTTCTCCTCTAGTAGTATAGATTATTTGTTTTATCTAGTAGTCTATGTTCTAACAGTTTCTTTTAGGTTAATCTGGTTGTCAATTTTGATCTCCCTGTCAAACATGAAACTCCATCAGAACCTGACTATGAGGTTTACCTACATAGGATTGGTAGGGCAGGACGTTTTGGTCGCAAGGGTAGGCTTTCCATCTCAGAGTTTTAAATTTTCTGCTAATTCTGTTTCTTAATATGCAGTTTTTTGTCATGCTCATAGAAAATGAATATGCAGTTATTCATGCTAGGTGCAACTACTGGTAGTCTACCCTTTAAAATAAAGAAAATTTTAGAAATACTATATTACATTTTATTCTCTGATGTTATGCTTTCATCTTCTTGTGGTGGAATCATGTTACAATTATAATTAATTATTGATTCCATAGTTTTCAGGGCGCCAAGGCGAGGCTAGGCGACAGGGAGGCGCCTTGTCGCCTAGGCGATGGATTTTTTTTAAGTAAAAACATGTATCCTAGGGTAGTTCCCCAATCATATTTCCTTAATAAATATCCATAATTTTCATAAGAAAAGTATAAACTTTATGTTGAAGTATTGAAAATCAACATATGCCAACATTTTCATGAAAAGAAAAAGAAGAAAGAAAAGAAATTTCAAAAAATATAGGGGATGAACCCCTATTTCTGGTATAGGAAAAGAAGAAAAGAAAAGGTGGAAGAAGAAGGAGAAGAAATTAGTATATCAAACACAAAATTAGTAAAGAAAAAGAAGAAAATGTGTTGATTGGACAACATTTTAAGTTCTTCCTTATTGGTTAGGGTTTTGAAGTCTTTGAGGGTTCAATACAGCATTTAGCAATTTTTGTGTTGATTAAACCCTAACAAATAAGAAAATAATAAAAAGAAATTAGTAATATAAACACACAAAATCAATATTTTAGCTTAAAAATGTCTATTTTATAATTATAACCTCAAAAAATTAAGAATATAAAAGTTTTTTTTTAACATGCTATAGAAAACTGCTTGGCAATTAGGCAAGGCGAGCCTCCAAGGGTGCCTTGTTGCCTAGGTGTCGCCTTGACAACTATGATTGTTTTAATTTTTATTTTTGTTGAGAAAAGTGAAGTATAAATTTATAATAACTTGAATATTTTGAGAAAAGTAAAGTATAAATTATTATTTCAATTCTTGAAATAACATGAGTATTTTTCATGTATCTTTTTGATTGGTTCCAAGATCAAGGAGGTATTATTATTTAATTATAAGGAAAAAAAGTATAAAGTGGAAAGTCCATAATAGGAATAGAAACCAAGTGCAAATTATAACTTTAAACTTTTATCAACAAACTAGCAACGAAGTACCTCCACAAAGAATAGTCTACAAGCTCCAGCTTTCTCCCCTTGGATCAGGTATGATTTGAAATTTGAATTCAGGTAACCTCATAAAGTTTTGGGAGCAAACTTGGGTTGGGGAATCCTCATTGATGAACCGGTTTCCCTCTTTGTATGCTCTGTCTGACTTGAAAAATGAGCCCATTTCTTCATTCCTTGTTCCTTTAGACTCAACTTCTAGTTTTGGGTGGAGCTTGGGCCTGAGAAGGGTTGTTAGGGATACAAAACTAACTGGGTTGCACCTTAACTCTCTTAGCCACTCCTGAAAATGTTTTTTTGGACCTTTCAAAGGAAGATAACAAAATTTGGACCCCATCTTCCTTGGGTACTTCTCTTGTGCCCCATTCTTTAAATCCTTAACTCAGCCACCTGCTCCTCCTAGTTTATCTTTTCCTGTTAAAGAGGTATGGAGCAAGTCCATTCCTCCTTGGGTTGGGAGTTTTTGTTGGGAAACTTTCTTGGAAAGAATTAACACAAGTTATCTGCTTCAAAGAAGTGAAGAACGAGGCCCAAGTCTTGTTTATCCCTGCATAGGTGTACTCTCTGCAAAGTTGATAGGAAAACTGGTTACCACCTAATGGCATCTTGCCTTTTTGCGATAAAACTACATGGGAATGGGTTTTCTCCCATTTTGGGTGTAGTTGAAACCCCCATTGAATGTGCAAATCCTGTTTTCTCCTTAATTCAGTTGGCCAATGAAAGGAGGAAGGATCATGTGGAGAAAGAAATTCACGAATTTTCTTATACTAGGAGAGAATCATTGAAAACATAATAGAATTGATCCAGATAAGGGTGTCACATTGGCAGAAATCCTTGGACTTATTCATAGATTTCTCCATGGATGACCTGCTGAAAAATTGGAAAGAGATAACTAATTCCGCCTAGTTTAACAGGGTTTCAAGTTCTTCTTGGACCTCTCCCCCCTCTGGATTCATAAAACTAAACTTTGATGGTCATAGAAAAAGGAGTACAGGGCTGTCTGGTATTGGGGGAGTCTTCAGGAATGGGGAAGGGAATGTCTTAGCCATGTACTCAGCCCCAATTGGAGAAGTTGACTCTCTCAGGGCTGAGATCTTTGCAGCTTTGGAAGTTGTCCAAAGAGCAAGAGATTTGAACATCAGAAGGCTGGTATTCGAAGGTGACTCGAAGGTGGTGGTGAGATGGTTAAAGGAAGACAACATTGGTATGGGGAACTACATCAATGAAAGGAAAAACTTTAAATGGCTAGGTAAGGACATTGAGATAAAATGCAATTGGGTGAAGAGAACTGCTAACTTATTTACTGATGGGTTAGCCAAACAAGGGGTGAATATGGATAAAATACCTCCCCCCTTGTTGTACTTAAAATTTCTTAAATATTAAAGGAGTGGCAAAACTGAATTTTGACAGAAGTTGTCTAGGTAATGCAGGGCCCTCTCCAGTATAGGAGGGATTATGAGAAATAAGGATAACAACATCATATCTTTATTCTCAATACCAGTGGGAATTGGTAACTCTACAAGGGCTGAGATACTAGCTGCGGTAATCAACATGGAGAACTTGTTAGTTGAAAGGGACTCCAAGGTGGTAGTGGGCTGGATGTCAAACCCAGAAACAGTCTTTTGGGGTTACAGGGATCTTCTGAAGAATGTTAATTGGCTTACAAGGAATATGTTAGTTAGTTAATCAACAAATGCCATGGCTGATTCTTTCTGTTTTGGACTACCTTATAATTGTAATTTAGGCTAGAGTGTGCTTAATTGCTCAGCTCTAAGGGGAGGTAAAATCTCGTTCCTCCTCTTAGGCTGATTGTACACTTTTTCTATTCTATGCTTAATAAAATACCACTCATTTATCAAAAAAATTTTATAACATTTCATTTCATTTTATTGTTTGTTAGGAGGGGGTAGTTTTTAACTTGTGAGAATTCTTAGAACTGTTTGCTGCAAGTAATGTTTTAAAACATGGAGGCATGCCATGAGGTGTAGTTTAGAATGCAAGAGGCATCCTTAGCTAGGAATGGCAATGGGGTGGGGATCATATTCCCCATCTCCGACCCCGATTCTGAAATTAACCCCCATCCCCTTCCCCGATCCCCGCCGGGGGTAAAATTTGTCCTCCATCCCCGATCCCTGATGGGGATGGGTTCCCTGTGGGGGCCCGAATCCCCAAAATTTTTTTAGATAAGTATTTTTTTTTGAAAAATAAATTTACTTAAAATAAATAAAAATTATAAATTATAAATAATGTTTAAAATATGTTTTGATATATATATATATATATATAATATAATATAAACAATATAATAATATATATTAATATTAATAACATTACGTATATATAATTGGGGTCAAGGTGGGGCGGGGACCTCAATCCCTGACCCCGACCCCATTGGGTCAGGGGAGTCGGGTCCCCATTGGGGATGGGGAAAATTGCCATCCCTATCCTTAGCCCAAGGAGGCACGGGCCTCCTCAAGAGGGGGGGGGGAGGAGTACACGAGGTAAGCTTGATGCACCTAAGGCACACGCCTCAGAAGCATAAACATTTCCAGCATGCACCTCAGGGCATTTTGAGGGCGTCTCGCCTCAAGGCATGCCTCCAGGTGTAGACCTTTTTAAAACGTTGATTGTGAGTATGGTATTTGATAATAGAAGGGTGTCTGAACCAGTTACTGAGAATTCATATAACTGTTTATTGTGAATATGGTGTTTGACAAAAAAGGGTGTATTCAGTTAGAAAAAATAATGTTGTTTTATTAAAATATCCATTACTGTTAGGTCTTATTTCTGTTAACAGTCAAAGCAGCCCTCTCTATTCCACCAAAAATTGGAAGATGTTAGAACCGAGAATGCAGGTGACAGATATGTAGGACAATGATTTAAAAGGTGCGCCTAGGCACACAGGCGAGGCGCATTTTAGGGTAGGCGCCTCGCCCAGGTCCTAGGCACAGCCCTTTCAAAAGGTGCATGCCTGCTGCGCCTCAGCCCAGGCGTGCGTCTTTTGAAAATTTGGCACTTTTTTTCTTTTCTTGTGTCTAGCGGCTGGGGCAGGGGCTCTGCCCCCGGACCCTGTGCCACGCCCCTCGAGGCAAAGTCCAAACAAGTCCACGTTAGGTCTTAAATTCTTAGTTCCCACACAAAAAATAATGATTTTATAATTTTAATTGCATTTTAAGAAGATATTTTATTAGGATGAATGAATGAACAACATTAGCATGGAGCATGGCACGGGGGTTACCCCCTATTTGGTCGGGTCGTTGACAATAAGACCAGAAATCAGGAAAATTCTCACATTACTCGGAGCTGCAATTTGTGGATCTCTAGTTCTGAGCTGTTTAAAAGGTGTTCCTGTTAGTGATCTGAATAGAAACTTGTTAACCTTTTTATTCTCCTCCTCCAGGCCGCTTCTCATTCCTTGTGGCCCTGGGATAAGAAAGGCGAGGGGGAGATGACCTTATACTTCGATGGCAGTGCTTCAGGCAATCCAGGTAGCTGGAATTGGAGAAGTGTTCAGAGATAGGATTGGCAGTGTTTGCTAGAGATTTGGCTGCTCTTACTGGTATCCACATTGCTAGAGATTTGGGCTTACAGACTCTAACCATTATAGGAGACTGCTAACATTATCAAATGACTTGGAGAGGAGGGAAACACTTGGAGATTGTATCACTATTTGGCTGGAGATATTCTGACTTCTGAGTTCAATGTTCGTAAATTTGTCTTGGGTTCTGACGAAATTGAATTCTGTTGCCAGATGGTTTAGCTAAATCTGGTGCACATCTGGATGTAATGCTTAGTAATAGTTATCTCCCTTGTAGCCTGTTCGACATCTCTGACTTCACTTTGCCATGATGTACATCTTCTCATGTACCTCGTCTTTTTAATAAATTTCAGTTATATTATTTTAAAAAAGAAAAAACACTCCATCTTAAAGAGGTTGATTCTGACTAGTGTCTTGACCAAAAAAAAAAGACTAGTGTCATATGCTATAATAACCAATGTTCAGAGGACCGGACGGGTGGACCGGGCATAGAACTGGAGAAGGGAGAGGTTCACGGGTCAGAGGTTAACCGAGGTCGAATAGGAGGTTGAACCATGATGATGCGGCATATACATCATATATCATACGGGTCATATAAATACTATATAATATATTTTACAATTTTTAATGTACTTAAATATGGTGGATGGATGGTAAGTTACTTAATTTTTAAAACAAATGACTAGGGTTCAAGTCTTTTAACTTACATTTTCTTTAAAATACGTGCATAATAATGTAATATGTATAATGAATAGTCATTAATTAGCATAAGAGGTGGATTAGTGATAATTAAGTAATTTGTGAAAATAATAGGTCTTGAGTTCAAATCTTGTTAACAACATTGTAAAATTTCACTTATGTATGGACTCAGGTTGTTTCATGAAACCAGGACCAGTTCACCGGTTTTCTGGTTCAACCGGTTGGTTAGCCGGTTTTCAGCGGGTTTTGAACAAGTCTGGTTATTGGGGTATGACCGAACTGGTCAGGGCCCTGGGTCATGGCTCAACTCTCTGGTCCGGTCCGGTTTTGTAAACACTGATAATAACTAATGGTTCTAAATCAGTCTTTGCGGAATCCTTATGCAACATGAAATTTTGAGGATACAGACATAAAAGGATTCTCATGGGTTCATTTGATTTTACAGGAGCTGTGTTCAACCTGCTCTGTAGTGACAGGGACAAAATGCTCATGGAGAAGATTGAGAAACACTTTGGGCATCGAATTGCTGAGGTAATTTAGATTTTAGCCTTCCGAAAGGCACTGTAAACTATGTTGATATTGAAAATCTTTCATGCAGAAAAGAGTTAAGGGTTGGCTCTATCTTTTATCTGTTTCGGTTAAATTGGAGGAGTTTTTGACATGTTTCTAGGTATTTTTTTTTGCGGTAAAGACGGTATTTGGCATGTTGGTTAAATGACGTGTTGTTTTTGCTGGTGGAAATGCTCTTTTTTTTCCTGGTGTCAACTGCTCTCTCATTATTATCAATCCCTGCGATGCAGGTACCTTCTTGGCAGAGTGAAAAGGATTTTGAAGAGGCTTTGAAAGCAGCTGGGCTTGCATAGATTATGATGGATTGGAACTGCCTTAATGCCCACCTGGCTGCTTACAAGAGATTTTCCATGAATCAATGGTTGTATCTTCCGTGAGAACTGCCCACAGGGTTCTTGCAGCTTTACAGGAGGTCTTGTATGGATGACCTTCGTGTCTGTTGCTTCAAGATGCTGGGTGTCAAGATATTCTCAGGCTTATTAGATAGATAATTGATGATATGATATCTATATATTTGTTTTCTCTGATGTTTTCATTGCAAAATGTAAGTCATCCCTTTCGGAACTCGGAACTTGATCAGATGCATACAACACGCTTTGTTTTGTGTGGAATACGACTTTAAATCGTCTGGGTTGTTCTCTTTTTGCGGTGTTTACAGTATTTCAGGTTTCTTAAAAAAGACAAATATCTAATTCCGTGTCTTAAGTTTAGCCTTCTTCAATGTTGGTCCATTTTATCTTTTCTATCTGTGGGTGTTCTCTTTGTTAGCTTGTATCGGTTGGGTTGGGATTTGGGAAGGTTAAGGGGAAAGGCGGGGTACTTGATGTGATTGGTTAATCAGCCCTTTCTGTGTACAACGGTGTGATCTTTGATCTGCAGTTATGTGATTTTCTGAAGCGGCAGCAGATTGTTTTTGTTTCCGGTGAACGTGAACCAGGGAAATCCCTGGAAACCCCAAACTAGTAAGGGGAAAGGAAAATAAATGAGAAAAAGGTGCTGCAGAAAAAAAGAAAACCCGCTTTATCTTGAATCTAAGCTTGTTCATTGGGAGAGAGAGTATTATAATAAGAAAAGGCCAAGCGCTCCTCCGTGGTGGTATAAACTATATAAAGTACAAATAACGTACAAGTAGACTTTAGAGGGGAATGAAGTTCATTTCATCATCTCTCATTTGTCTATAGTGGCATTCTAATTGTTTGACTTTGATCGATCTCCCCAGTCCCCACCAGCACCGAACACCAAACACCAATGACCAACCCAAGCCGAAAAAACAAAAACAAAAAGCATTATGCGTGTTCATCAACGATAATTCTGAAAGTAAATAAAAACAGACATCCTCGTCTCGTCAGCCATGGTCATGGGCGGGGATAGCTTAAATTCTTGGTCATTATTAATCAACTTATAGTGTGGAAGCAATCAAGAGAAAGGAGCAGAGGAGGCGTGACGAGTGACGACGACCCGAAAACATCGTCTCCTTTCATTTATTTATTTATTTGATTTCAATAAAATACGGCGGTCCGATGCCAACCCAAATGGGCAAATGGTACAATTTGGGGAATATCCCTTCCTTTCTTTCTTCTGGTTTGCTTGTTACAATCTGAAATCTGCATGTTAGATGTTACATTACATTGTTGACAAGACAATATATTAACTCTCTCACTCAAAAAGTCAGACTCCAAAAGAGGCAAACTGGGAAACAACAAAAAAGTCTTCCTTCTGTAGTTCTGTGACATTGAAACTTCATCGTCATCCTCTTCTACATTCCCACTTTCCACCAAACTATTACAACACCCCTCATCGACCACAAATACAACAGAACTCTCTCTCTCTCTCCTCAAGGCTCAAGTAACATTTGCCCATTCATGGACGCCCCTGCATCGCATCAGGACTCCGTCACTTGCGCTTCCTGGATCCGACGGCCAGAAAACGCCCATCTCGTCGTCTTCGGTAAGCCCCGGCGTGGTCACTCTTCTCCACCTCTGCTCCACATCTTCTCTTTCGATGCCAAGACTGCCTCTCTTTCATCTTCTCCCAAGGTCCAACCTTTTCTCCCTCCTCTTAGGGTTTTGCTTCTTTTATGCCTTTTTGTGAAATCCTCCTCCTCTCCTCTCTTTGTTCCTAGGCTACTCACGCGTTAGAAGAAGGCGATCCTATAAGCATTGCGGTTCACCCAAGCGGGGACGACATCGTTTGCTCCACCACCACCGCTGGCTGCAAGTTAGTTTCTTCTTGTTTAGCTCTGATCAATACAAAATACTGGCCGCCGGTTGAAGCTATTTGACACCTTTTGTATTAATTTCACCTTTTCTTTTTTTTTTTGTATTAATTTTACCTTTTCGGCACACGTTGATGCCACCTCTCTAGTCTTAATTTGCTAGCAGTTTTCTCTTTAAAATATAAATATGCACGGTTTGACTTTTTTACTTAATTTTCTAATATTTCTGGAAACTGATTTACTGTTGAGAGCTTATTGTCAATTTGTCATAATATCGCACACCTAATAACCGCAGAGGTTGTGGTAAAAGATCAGCTTAATCCTGCTACCTGAGATATATATCCTATTCAGTCTTCCCCTGCTCTGCTTTTCTTTGGACAATGATTGGATTGGTATTATATCATGCAAATTGTTCCAAGTGTATGGATAAATTACCTCTGTACATGTAATATTTTACTGGATTTGAACAGAGTCCTTTAGGATCAGGTTTTATTCTTTGAAATCTGAGGGGTGAAAAATATGATGTTTTGTCCGCAATTTACAGATTGTTCGAAGTGTGTGCTGGCGAAGAAAACATAAAGCTGGTGGCCAAAGATATACCACCTCTGCAAAGTGTTGGTCCTCAGACATGCTTAGCTTTCAGCCCTGATGGTTCAAGATTTGCTACTGGTGGGGAGGTAAGTCTTCCAACTTCTACTTGTAATATTCTTGGTTGACACTGTTTCAATAAGACAATAATTATTTATTAGTCACCAGTACTTGAAGTTGTAGATATGCACATCTAAGTATTTACTTTATTTTAGCATAAAATTTTGATATATTGCTACATGCTTTTATATGATCTCAAGGGAACATGGCACTGTTAGCCACATCCTTTTTTGATTAAATTAGCACATCCACAGTGAGAAGCCAAAGATGCCACTGTTTGTAAAGATAAAGGTCAAAACATGGGAGGTGCTTTGTCTTTTAAAATATGTACTTTTTTTTTTCTCATAAACAGGGGTGTGCCCCTTTACTAAAAATGGGATATGCCCAAATCACACCCCTTACTTTTTTCCCTCCCTGAGCAACACTGCTTTGCCATGTTTACTTTTATCAGTTTAGATAGAAATCCACTGTTTGGTACCTTGAGTGGCATTCAGCAAACATTGGTGGAACATTTCTGTTGTTCCAAGGAGCAGGAAAGAAGTTTTTCCCTCTATTCTAGGAAAACCAGAAATGTTCTAATGGTACGTCAACAAATGCTTCATCAATTACTATATTGTTTTCCAACAAATGAAACTCTACATCTAAATTTCCCTCTTGGTTCTTATTTATCAACTTTGTGCCTTTGAAAGGCTCTTTTTTTGTGCCCATGACTGTAAACAGTATTTTAGAGAAAGTTTGTGCACTGGATAAATTATGTCTGCATTGGTACAATTTGCTCTGACATATTTCTTTATTATCTGTAGGATGGACATCTTAGAATTTTTGAATGGCCAAGCCTGCGCATCCTTTTAGATGAGCCAAGAGCACACAAATCCTTTCAAGACATGGATTTTAGGTAGGGTTTAATACATGTCCATTCTGTCGTCATGTTAACACGCATATGTAATGTCTTTTTTTCTTATCAGTAACCAGGATAAAATTTTATTAATAATAAACAAATGTGTACAAGTTGTGCATCCCGTCAATGCAAGAGGTAGTCCCTACTACCTCACCTTATCCCATGCATTACAATTTAGCCCAAAACATTTGATTTCTATTAATCCCTTGTTTTGCTAAGGCATCAACCAAAGAATTGGCCAATCTTTGCACCTATTGAATCTTCACTTTCAAACCATTAGTCATCCATCTAAAGTTCTAAACTTCTTGATTTCATTAATGTAGTTCCACATCACTATCTCTTCATTCAATAGCCACTCTATTACCACTTTTGAGTCACCTTCAATGCTCAATTTCTTGCAACTAAGCTCTCTTTCTCTCTGTACCCCTTCTTGGAGTATTAGAACACCTATTGCCCTTTTGATCTTTCATGAAACTTTTATTGGTTCTTAGTATCAACGTGCATGCATTCAGCATTTATTACATGCAAATGTAGAAGTGCATAAGTTTTGGCTGCATTGCCCCCTTTTCATTCATTGATTCATCTATGGTATGTATTTGAATATATAATTGCATATGCTCTAACCTGTCTTGCCATACTCCAGTTTAGACTCAGAGTTCCTTGCTTCAACATCTACTGATGGTTCTGCACGAATATGGAAAGCAAATGATGGTGTTCCTTTGACATCTCTGACTCGCAACTCGGTATGACTTGTATGGTGGTGTCATGCAGAGCAGAATTTATTATCACATTTTTATGGGCATAGAGAACATACCATTTCATTTTTTTCCTTTTATTTTCAGGATGAGAAGATTGAATGCTGTCGATTTTCCAGGGATGGGACTAAACCCTTTTTATTCTGCACTGTTCAAAAAGGTTTTCTTCTTTGTTTTTAGAAGAAAAATACTGTACATGTCTCTGCTTTTATCCTGCTACTTGTTCATTTCTGAACTCCATTGGTTATTGATAAAACAGGCAATAAACCAGTAACTGCAGTTTGGGATATTAGTACATGGGATAGAATTGGTCATAAGAGGCTACTTCGAAAGCCCACCTCTGTCCTTTCAACCAGCTTGGATGGAAAATATCTTGCACTGTAAGCATAAGAAATTCACAGAGAATCTCGTCTAACATTTTATATAAGCTTTATAGCTGGTTTTCATTGTTTATGTAGGTGTACCAGTCTGTGCAAAAGAACTGGTTGATCTAATTTTTCTATTCTGAACTTGGTCTTGTTCTCATTTCTGAAGTTATGTTGTTTGCATTCATCTATTCTTTCTAAGTCATCATGGTGCTTTTTTCTGCCCCTTTTAATATGGCTTTCCCAGAGCTTATTCTATGTTGACAGTAATGCATTGTTTGTTTCCTATATCACCAATATAGTTTTCTGGTCAAACAATAACATGTTCTAATATTAAAAAAAACTGCTAATTGTTCTAATATTAAAAAAATAAATGATCAACAATATGTTCTAATATTGAAAAAATGACTGCTAATTGTTGTTTTTATACTATTTGATTTGAGTTCTAAATAATTACTAATTAAGCACATTTATATATCTGGATGGTTAAATTTGCATCTCTTTAGTTCATTTAAGGTAATGGTATAAAATTGTATTACTTGAAGGCAAAATGTGTATGAGGGGATGCATATAGCTATAAAAGGAAAAGATATCCCTTCTCTCATGCCATAGGAAGGTAAGGAGCTATGACTGTACAAAAAAAAGGCCTTTTGCACATTTGGACTAACCTATCAGCAATATATTCTATGATACCCAAATACCTTTACATGCGCAGCGTACCAGTATCAAATATGATACTAGGTACTGCATGGATACTTCCAGGTGTACTCTATACATTAGCGCTTACTAAAACATAAATGGTATGCTTTAATAATTTATAATATAAAACAATATGCATATCTTAGAAGTTTAATTGAATTTGACAATACACAAGTTTTGAGAAATGATATTTAGCTTCAAAAACTGGATATAAACTCATAATATAAGCATTTTACGTGGGACACCCTTACCTGTATCTGTGTCCATGATTTTAGGAAATGGAAAATCATATCTCCATTTTCTGTATCCATGTGTGTCCGTTTTATGGATTAACTATTTCATCCAATCTAAGGTCAAATGGAGGGAGATTAAAGAAATTAATAAAACCTGGGGGAAAGTCTAGAGTCTAGACACATCAAAGTTTAAATTGTTGTTATTACAAATATAATTTTGGGAAATGCAGGAAGATTTTAAATATTATGATATATATATATATATATTCCCTGCTAGTTGGCTTTGGCTTCGGTTATTTTTCTTAGAAGTTCTGAGAATAGTTCTCCATTAAAGAGTCATTGAAATATGGCAATACAAAGAATACCAAATTTAATCCAATGTGTAGATTAAGGCGATAAACAACATGTGTTTTTTTTTTTATCAATAAACATGTGTTTTTATTTATATATTTTAATGGGATATATAATTTTCCTGCATATGCAATTTTAGTTGGATAAAAATCACAAGAAGTTTCTTCTTCTTCTTCTCTCTCTACTTTGATTTGTTGTTTTTCTTAAATTTTGAAGTGTTTCTGTTGAGGGCCCGGGAATAGGATCTCGTCACGGGTCGGTCCACGGGGAAAACCTCCTGTTTTCCCTTGTTCCTTCCTGCT